CCGAGTTTCCGCCACAATCGGCAACCACAGGCCTGTAAACCCCACGTTTTAAAATGAAAGCCATGAACAAGTGCGGTTCGTGACTGCAGTTGGCGACGAGCTCCTCTCCCGAGGCTGAGCTGGCTGCCAGGCTCCTCTCAGGGCTGGGACCAGGAGGAGGGTGGGGCAGGTCCTGGTGGCCAGAGAAGTGGGTGCTAGCAAAAGGAAGGCTGGCCTGAAGAACCACAGAACAGCCCGGCTGTTCCCGGGTCAGACATGACTTGGGCAAACTGCTGTCTGCAGACGGGGCAATGGCAGCTACAGAGAAAGGAGTCAACGTGGCCAGAGACCAAGACGATGAAACCCTGTAGCTTCGGGGCACTAAGTGCCAGTGTACCCTCCCTGCTCTGGGCCTGGCACACAGCGAGGCTGGTTGGGTCTACTCGCTCCGGCTGACTTCCCAGAGCATTACATTTGTTTAAAGGACTCTACCACTGCATGGGCAATGGGAAAAACACACAGCTCTCTCGCTAACAGCCAGTGCCCTGGATTCTGCTCTGGCCCCCCACCCTCACCCCCCTGGGAACGAGAGGGGCACTCACTCAGAAAGAACTGAGCCTGGAGCATTTGGGAAGCTGTCATCTGGGCGGAGCCACAGCCACAGCCGTCTCCTGAGGAGAGACTGGTGGGTTGGAACCGCCAACCTTTTGGTGATCAGCTGAGTGTCTATGCCTCTGTGCCAGCAAGGAACCAAAACTCCAAAAGGAAACCTGTGGCCACCAGGCTGCGCCCGATGGACATGCTGAGCCCCTCCTCCCACAGAGGTCCTGATGACAGGGGCACCGGCCCACCAGGACAGAACCAGCAGGGCTCTGCACACATGGCTGCCCTCCGCAGGTGTGCGAGAGAAGGCAGTGGTCTTTGGAAGGGGCCCAGCCTCACCCCAGCTCCAACAGGATGGAAGACTCCTGCTTCGCAGAGAGAAAGGCTCACGTGCTGTGACAGCCTTTACCAGCCTCTCCCGGTCTTCGCAGACCCCTGTGAAACGCCAACTCTGGGGCTCAGAGGAGTCAACACTACCCCCAAAAGACACACGGCCACCGGGTCAGTTCTGGCTGGCAGCGCAGCAGAACCACTCCTGACAGGCACAGACAGCCTTGTCTCTCTCCCAGGGGGCGGCGGGTGGTTTTGAACCGCTCCTGACAGGTGAAGACAGCCTTGTCTTTCTCCCGGCGGGGGTGGGGGGTGGTGGTGGGGGCGTTAGCGGTCCAGCACTGAGCGCACTGCGCCACCAGAATGCCTTGGAGAAACCATGGGTCTCCTTGAAGATACGATGACCAGTGCATTAAAGAGAGAAAGTGGGAACAACGCCACCTACTGTTGGGACGAGAGGTCTTGTGGGATTGTCCGAGACAGGCGGCTCCCGGCCATAGGAGGTTCGAAGGAAGGGCGTGCACCGTTCACCCAGAGGCCTGGCCGGGTCAACGAGGACCTGTCCCCATGTCATGTGCACACGCCTGAGCAGCAGTGCAGAGGGCCACACCGGAGGGGACCAGCAGGGACCTGGGAGGGCCCTCACCCAACCTGGCTCACATACCAGGACACAGGAGGAGGTGTGCAGGCGTAAATGGGGCTCTCGGCCTCATGACTAGCCCCTAAACCCTGTTCCAACTGGACCGAGGTTGCCGGGTTGCAGCACTCAGCTTCCAGAGGAAAAGCCGGGGCCTCTGTCCAGGCCACGCAGGGTTGGCACCAGGGTATCTAGGGCAGAGGGGACAGAGGCTGCGGCTGAAGGGCCTGCAAAACCCCAAAGGAGCACCCTCGGGGCATCAGCCTCGGGACATGCTCCTCCAGAACCTTGCTGTGGAAACTGAGGCACACGGAGGTGGGGTCACCTGTAAGGGACTCGGCCAGGCCGTGGTGGAGCTGAGGCACACTCCCAGGGGCACACTGCTCTTCCCAGCTACCCAGGCGGGCTGAGGCGAAGCCCAGCGAAGCAAAGGCCTCCATGCCCACCCACTGCCAGACGAGGCCCAGGAAGGTTAAGCAGGACACTTTCTCGGGACACAAAGGACACCTGCTCAGGAGCCCCGAAGCAGTCTGCTGGCCTGGACCACCCTTCAGAAGGACTGCCCCACCATCTTCTCCATGACCTCCTCCTCCTCCACGAACACCATCACCATCACCATCACCATTACCACCTCCACCACCGCGCCCTAACCCCCCATGGGAGGGAACTCTAGGGGATCTGAACCTATAGGCCAAAGTGAATGGTTCAAGACTAAATAGCGAGCCTGGTGATGCTGTGCAAGTGGGAACCCACAGCAGAACTGACCACTCGCAGGGGCTTGTCCGATTCAGTGCTCTGTGAAGGACCTCCTTCAAGCTGACCCCCACCCAGTGGGGCAGGTGCTTGTCTGTACGTGGGCCAGGCACTGGGAGACAGACACCTGCCCATTACATCTGGCAGAGGCCCAGATGCAAACTCAGGTCTCCTTCTGTACCCCAAAGGCATTACCTGGGCGGACTGGCTTTCACAAACCTTCCCATCCCTCACCTGGGCTCAAGGGCAAGGCATGGAGGTGGCATGGCTGCCCAAGCCCCCCAAGCAGGGCAGTGGGTCCAGGAAGCATCGGCCAGGAGCCAGGACCACTGGGCATTGCCTGCACCGTGGGCAGCCCCTACCTACTCTCCGCAAGCCTGTCTCCCACGCTGCTGAGTGGGCAACACTGGGCAAGCACTTGACTGCCCTGAGCCTCAGACAAGAGGCTCTCACTTAGTGGGTCACGCAAGGGGGGAGGGGGGGACAGGGAACTTGAAATACAGCACTGAGAGCAGGGCCCAGTTCAGCAAGCGCCCCAGAGGGCTGCTGTTGGAACCCACTCACTCCCACCCCACCAGGCCCCCACCCCTGTCCACGTAGTAAGGAAGTGTGAGCACCTCTGGCGGCTAGTCCTGCATGGACGCCGGCGTGCAGGAGGGACACACACTGCGGTGCCCCTCCTGGCCTGACACAGAAGGCAGCTGAGCAAGCCCACAGCCAGGAGCATGGCAGACACCGGGCTCGGAGGGCCACCAGGGAGGCCTGGGTGGGACATGTCACTGGACTGGGGGCCATGTTGGCACAGGTCTAGGAAACAGTCAACGGTCCCACGGAGCCCAAGAGCAGGATGTGGGTGGGCCCCACAGAGGGAGCCTGCAGCCCTCAGGAGTGCGAGAAGCCAGGAGGGAGCTGGGTCCTAATCCTGACATCACGGGCGAGGTTTGCTGGGAGTGGGGGGGAAATCCGTGGGTGCTGTGTGGGGCACAGATTGGGGCGGCAAGAGGGCACAAGAGAACAGTGAGGGGCACCCTGCAAACCTCCAGGCATGAGGTGTGGGTGGGGCGTGGCCAAGGCACCAGCAGCTCAAGTCCCCGGTGCTCCCAGCCATCTCCTCTGTTTCCCCAAGGCCACTCAGGAGGCAGCCCCGTACACCTCAGGCTCCAGATGCTGCACCCTAACTGGAAAGTGGGAGCCCTCATCCACTGAGGCGAGAAAGGCAAACCGTAGGATCCGATTTTACAGTTGCTCAGAATCGACCAGAATCCAAGAGCTGATGGCAGAAAGGCGGGCACAGCGGCGCTCCTACACCACTTTCCCACCGCCGCACCAGAAACGTCTGATGGCCAGACGGCCAGGAGGTAAGCCTGCAGACACAGGGCATCCCTCAACCTCAAGAGGCCGAGTTCCTGCGCAGGCTTGCACCTGAGTGGGCCCTGCAAACACCATGCGGGGGGGAGGCAGCCAGGGGTCCCTGGGCACTGTTCTTGCTTTCTTTCCAGGGGCTTCCTGGGTCACTAGGTGCGGACAGGATGGAAGTCCCGCCCAGACACAGGGTGTCTGTGAATGGAAAGCCTGTCAGTGAAGGACATGAAAGGTGGACGTGGCAAATACGTGTTGGACGTGAAGGGGCTCCTGAAAGTTCCAAGAGAAACGGAACGGCATTTCCCACACCCTCTCTGAGGCCCCGGCGTGTGTTTGTGTCGCACACAGAGCAACGAACTCCAAGCATTCAGGCCGAGACCAGGGCCAGGAGGCGTCTCCTTTCCCGTAAGGGCTCGACAACAATCGCGGCTGGCTCTGCAGGCGACTGGGGCTTGGTGGCAGGGATCCAGCCCCGCAGGGCAGGGGGAGCAGGGGCACACAATTCAGCTGGTGGCTGCCCTCCTGTTTCCGGAAAGCATGCACCCCGGGCGGACCGCGGGGAACAAAGCGAAGGGCACCATGAGGCAGCCATGTGACAGGCCGGGGACCAGACCACCAGCCAGGCTTGCCCGGGAAGAGGGGACACAACTCCAACAAGGACAGAGCCCCCGTTCCCAGGCAAGTCCAGAGGCGGCGAGAACAAGGGTGGGGAGAGACCGTGGGACGGGCTTGGTAACCGGTGTTTGGTGCCAGAGTCGGTTCCAACTCACAGCAACCTGACGTACGACAGGACAGACGCTGCCCACCTGGCCTGCATCACCCTCACCATCGCCATCCTGGGCGCCCTGTGGCAGCCACAGGGGCCATTGACCTCCTGCAGCACCCCTAGAGAGGTCTCTACCCTAGAGAGGTAGGAATGGAGACACACGTGGTGCATTACTCACAGCAGCACACACACGGACACCACCAGGCAGCCAGCCTGGCCATGGCAGGGTGATGAGCAAACTGTGGTGTGTGTACACACACACACACACACACACACACACACACCCCGCACCCCAACCCCAGCATACCCAACGGAGCTGCCAAACACCCCAGGGACAGGGTGGAGCTAGAGGGCATTATGTGGAGTGACAGTGGCCTACCACCAAAGGACAACTACAGAATGAGACTGCGACTGTAAAAAGTCCAGGAAATCCTTTCCATGGTTCACGAGGAATTGTGGGGAGGGGACAGAGCTACATAGAGAGTGTAAACACTCGTCTTCACTTGGGCGAAGGCTATATGAAAGACGCATACCATCCACACTACAGCAACATACCATACGAGGGAGGTACTGGTGGAGGCAGGGAAGACACGGGGAGGTGTGCAAGAGTGAAAGGCAGCCAAGGCACAGCTGTGACACACACCAGCCTGTGATGAGCGTGTTGTGCGAGTGGCTACATGCAGAGCCGTGCAGGTGGAATGGGGGTGGGATGGAGGTGGGCAGTTTGGGAGTGCATGTTTGGATGTGTGAGTTAGCTTATTGTGCCAACCTGGCTGATAAATACATGTGGGGTTAAAGGGCGCAGGGATAAACGGCTCAGTGAGCCTCGCCTTTCTAGTTCTCGGGTCTCTTGCTTTGTGATGGCTGGACCAGGGTGCAGCTGCCTTGGCCAGTTCCCTGCTTCAGCTTGCAAGGCTCACTTCCTGCAAGACATCCCAGAGGAGAAGCCACATGGACCTACCCTGATGCAGCCCTGGGTGCTGGAGCAGCCGTGCGGAGACCCCTGCCAGCGCTGAGATGCTGACACCCTCACTGACTCGGCTTTCCTCCTGCAGTCGGCATTGTTGTGTCTGTTTTGTGAGATGGAGGAGGACTTTGTGGATTGGTGTTGGACATATGGGTCAACGTTGGACTTGTGGGCTTGGGCAGCACTGGGTTGGAATGTTTTCTTGATGTACACTTACCCTTTATATAAAAGTCTCTCTTAGACATGAGTTGCTGTGGATCTGTTTCTCTAAAGTACCCAGACTCACACAATGTGCATGTGCCTTTGCTGCCAATATACCTGTGAGTGTGGTGTGGCATACAGGGGTGAAGGTATGGAAACATCTTATACAGAACCAAACACCTTGAGGGAATGAGTTGCTGGGCTCAGGGACTCGGAACACTGTTAGTCTCAGGGGACACCAAGGCCGATGGCCTAACACAGTCCACAAAAACAAAGCTCTCCATCCTACTTTGGTGAGTAGCCATTGGGGTCCTAGCAGCCCATGAACAGCCCTGTAGGGAGCAACTGTTGGTCCCTCTCCGCTCAGCGGAGAGAACAGTAATGCAAATCAAAGACACGTGGGACCACATGAACATCACAGTAGATGGCTGCCTTATTCTCTGATGCAAACACCGCCCTGGGGTGAGGGTCCATCGCCCTGAGACCAAGGGAACCAGGCAGTGTGCAGCTACTACGGCCAACTCCCCTGGTGGGATGACATTAAAAGGTCCGGAGTAAAAGGGAGAAAAACATGGAACAAAATTCAAAATCTTAAAAGAGAGCCAGCTTACTGGTCAGACAGACTCGGGTCTGGAGCTGAACCCACCCTCAGAGCTCGTTTCAGCCCATACAGCAGACAGATCTACAGGGAAGAACAACGCACGGCGGGGCCCTAGAGTGGTTAGCTTTGAGATCGAGAGGACGAGTTCAGACATTAGAGAGGAGGAGGATGGACAGGAAACACAGGGCGGACGTGGGAGAAGCACAGGAGGGGACGGCCACCGATGGCACGGAGCGGAATGGGTGTGCACTGTTGAGTGGAAACGATCTGCCCTGTACCCCGTCACCAGACTCACAGGAGAAGGTGAGAAGAAAGCACTGGGAGGGCAGAGGGGAACTGCAGGTACGGCACGGCTCTCGAGGCTGAGGGAGCAGATGCTGGAACCATCTCAGATGTGACCCAGTCTCTCAGAGCAGGTCCTGCTGCTCAAGGAGGAGGACAGGGGACAAGAAGCCCCAAAGGCGCAGCAGAAGGTGCAGTCCTGGGGCACGAGGCATTCGAGGACTTGCTCCCCGGACTCGTCTTTCAACATTTCTCAACAGGTTGGTGGGGGTGGGCACGAGCACAGGTGGGTGGCACTGTGACATCCAGACCCTGGCCTGAGTCACCACCTCCCCCAACCCAGGCTCTGGAGCAGCCAGAGACGAGACTGGGGGCCCTGATGGCAGCACTGGTCAGCTGTAGCACAATGGCTGCCCCTCGTCTGGGTTCCTGGTTGACACCTGGGGTGGGGTTGGGGTGGGGAGGGGGCACTGAGGGCAGGAGCCTAGGGCAGGCTTATAAAGTGGGGGGGGGGCTCTCCAGCCCTCCCCCACACGAATGAGGGATGATTCTTCCCACGCTGAGGAGCACAGCACTGGATGGGCAGGCTCCCGGGCTCCCACTGCTCCCCTTTCAGGCTGCGAACCGACCGGCTGCCAGGTACTGGGAAGCAGGCTTCCTGTCTATCAGCCCCGGAATCTCCGAGCAACCCTGTGACAAACCCCGACTTATTATCTGCCTGCCAAGCCCTGTGGGAATCGCCATCTGGAGCCCAAGGCCTCCCTGGGCTCCCAGCTCCTCCTCGGCGGCCCCTCCCCCAGGACCCCGCGCCCATGTCTCCCCCCAGCCGCAGACACAGCTCTCGAAACTGTATTCAATCTGTTTTCATGATGCAGGCCTTCCCGGGGGCTGCTTGCTTTTCCCACCTGGAGGCCAACACTTACTCCTGCTTCAAAACTCAGCTGAGCACTGGCCCTGGCACACCGTCCCCGCATCATGGGCCCCAGGGCTGTCAGAGAGGTGGATTTATTTCTTCAGCAGACCACCACTAGGCCTTCTTGCGAGGTTCCCCTGGGGGGATGTGAACATCTCACGGGGGACTGTCTGCAATGCCCAGGGACTCCCTGTGTACCCACCAGGCTTCCGGGTGCTCCCACTGAGGTAGGGGAGTCTGCTCCCCTGGGTGGAAGGTGTGAAGCAACCAGAGTACAGGTGCTATAACAAGTGGCGGCTGTCGAGGGCAGCCCGGCCACACGTGGTGACGTCAGCTCATCACTGAGGGTGGAAACGCCTGCTCCTTGGTCCCACGAGCCACACTTCAAGTGCTCGGCAGCCCACTTGGCTCAGGCCACTACCGCTCTAGGGCGTTTCCACCACACAGAAAGCCCCCTGGGAGGACACTGCTCTCAGCTGCTGCAGAGTCAGCTGAAGCCCTGGCTCATGGGCCTACAGTGACCCCAATAGGGCAAAGTGGGGGGTACTAGTCACTCATCTCCAGGGTGCTTCTCCCTCCTGCAAGGGGGAGTCAAAAAGTGGGGGAAATTCCATGATTCTGGAACTTTTGTCTTTCCACTTTTTACTGTAAATTAGGTGAAGCTTGGGGGGAGGGGGGGGGGGAATCACTTTTGTACCTGGCAACCTTTCAGACCTCCCAGTGGGTTGTTGGGTTTCTATCATTTTTGCCTGTTTCTTGTTGGGTGTTATTTTCTTTCTCTGTCTCCCAAGTTAACCCCTGCCTACCCTCAGCCTGTGACCTCTCCCGCCCTCCAGGAACTTTGTGAAGGCCCCTCATACACAGGGTCCCCACAAACAAGAGCGAGTGCCACTCAATAGGAAAAGAGACAAATCTCTCTCTCTCTCTCTACACGCCCGATCGACCCTGGATCGCGTGAAAGGATGGCCAACACACTAAGGTGAGGGAAAATGGAATGAAAAGACATGGGAAATTCCCATGAGCTTGCTGACGCCCCTGGTAGTGAGAGTACGGCATGCTGGTGAAAGCCCACACGTCGGCACCCACGAGGCTGTGGCGGGAGACCCTCTCAGGTGGCACTGGCGGGAGGTAACCTCGAAAACCCCAAGTTCAATGACAGCCCACCCACTCTGACGGGGAACGGCCTCCAAGCAGCTCCAAGGCTGTGAACGTGCATGAAAGCAGACTGGCTCGTGTGGCTGGGCAGCAGGCGAGGGCTGTTTCTCCCAGAAAGCTTTCGGGCCGCCCGCACCCTCGGGGAGGGCTGCTAAGAGTGGAATGGTGGTTGGGCTTTGACAACAATAAACAACTGTTAGAGGAGCGTCACAGGTGTCTGTAAAAGACTGCAGCAGCAATCCTCCGCATTCGACCATGGAGGGCTCTGCCGTGCGACCCGCGCAACCCACAGGGGTGTC